CCTTCTTAGCAAGTGGCTGTGGAAACTCTCTTCAGAGAATGATGCTATGTGGGCTCAAATACTTCGCAGCAAGTACCTTCAGACAAAAACTTTGTCCCAGGTTACAGTATGGCCGACCGACTCGCCCTTCTGGAAAGGTCTCATGAAGGTCAAGCAGGCATTGTTTAATAGGACAAAGTTTGTTATTGGAAACGGCACGAGTACACGTTTCTGGGAGGATACTTGGCTCGGTGACACACCCTTGGCCATCCAATACCCTTCTCTGTACCGCATTGTTCAACGACGTGAGGTGTTCGTTGCATCGGTCTTTCAATCTACCCCCCTTAATATCCAGTTCCGATGAGCGCTAGCGGGCAATCGTTGGGAAGAATGGCTCCGTCTAGTTAGGAGACTGATGGAAGTCCAGCTTTCTCAACAACCCGATGAATTACGCTGGAAGTTGACTAAGTCTGGAGCATTCACGGTTAAATCAATGTATATTGATGTTATTAATTCGAACTCCATTCCTACGTCCAAGCATGTTTGGGATGTCAAAGTTCCTTTGAAAATAAAAGTGTTTATGTGGTTTGTCCATAAACAAGTTATTTTAACTAAGGACAACTTGATAAAGCGTAATTGGACAGGACCTACTAGGCGTAGTTTCTGCAATCGGGATGAGACTATCAAACACCTCTTTTTTGATTGCCCGTTGGCCAAGGTACTTTGGCAGACGGTCCACATTGCTTTTAATATCAATCCCCCGAATTCTGTTAATGTGTTATTTCGGACATGGCTTAATGGGATTGAGCCTCACTTAGCGAGACATATTCGGGTTGGAGTTTGTGCTTTGTTGTGGACTATCTGGAATTGCAGAAACGATTTGGTCTTTAACAGAATATCATGTATACATTTTTTGCAGGTCTTATTCCAAACTACGGCACTGATCCGTTCGTGGTCGCTACTCACCCAGACGGAGGCCAGGGGGCATTTGGTTACTGGGTCTTTCCGCTGGGAGATGGTAGCTCGGGATATCTTCAACCGGTTTGGATGGCGGTCATGTAATAGGATAGGCATTTAGTATCCCTATCTAGTTTTAGCCAGTCGGTTGTGGCATCTGTTATTGGCTAGTGGATGTTTCTAGCCTTTTTTGGCTCTGTGTGAGCTTTATGTACTTTTCTTTCACTTTTGGAGACCTTTGGAACCATGTTGGTACTACTTTATTTTGATAATAAGATGGCCGTATGCATCGTTCTGATGCAGAGGCCGGGGAAGCCCCCTTTTCGAAAAAAAAGTTAATTCAAACCGAGTGCTTTGCTGTTGCTTGGCTTCTAGTACTGGCTCAGGCAAGGCATCAGGTTCAATCACCAAGAAAGAAAGGGTGAGCCACCTTGAGTGCTTTTGCTTTTGCTTTTGTTGGAATGGTTTGAAGGAAGGGATCGTTAGTTAGCCCCATGTCCAAGCAAACAAAGATGTGCATCTCCATCTCTTTTCTCTTCTAGCCAGCACCAAAGCCTTCTTCATCATCAACCTTATGCGACTCATTCTTGCTTCAAACCAAAGAAATTCCCTGCCAAGTTTCCCTCATTCACCAATTTTCTCAATATTTTGTTCTGCTCTGTTCTTACTCTTCTTCGCACCCAGAGGAAGCTTGTCTTGGTCCGCTTGTGTTCTCATTTGATCCTGTGGAGTTACCGGCCCGTCGTATCCAGGTATGTATTCGATCTCAATGTTCTACACTTCTGGATCTATAACACAGTGGGCGTTACTTGATAATCTCGTATTCTCTAGATATTGCAGGTGTAGCAGCAACAACGTTTTCACTAGGTGATTGACCGCTAATCTTCTGTTATCTATCTTGATTCTAGCTTGCACTCAGCCTTGCGTGATCTTAAAAGTAGCGAGATGGACTGATCATCATAGCAAACTGCTTCTTCAAGATGCATGATCACTATCTATTGATTCTTGTTATTGACGGTTTTTCCTTGCTGGAAAAGTAGTTTGTGAGGTAATGGCTTGCAATCGACTTAACTTTCATTACCACAGTCAAATATATTAGTGTTCATGATTCGTAAGCTAGCATTAGGGCTATTCATCGACAAGATAGATCAGAAAAACAAAAACTTGGCTAAATGATTAATCTATTTGTTGTAACAGATAGAAATATAATGCAATGCGACATTTTCTGTGATTCGAACGATATGTAAACTGGGCAAGACAAACCAATAAGTATTTTGCATAAAAAACTATTACACTTGTAAATTTGCAAGCACGAAAAAATAAATTGAAGGACTCAGTAGCAGCTCTGGAATTTAGTCCTCATTACATGGTGCTACTGAAGTTGCTGAATCTGTATGTACGATTGATTGGGTACATAGCTTTCATTATGCAAAATCTATTCTAAATGTAAATAGCAACTAAGTAGTGATATCTTCTAGTGTATCTATCAATCCTTATTATCTCATTTCTCAAAGCATGTTAAGATGCCTTGTGCATTCATTTTCAGCTTCCAGTTTCTGCCATTGTCAGAATCAAGTCACCGTGGTGTTTTTGGTGGATCTCCCTTTCTGAGTTTGTCTGATCCATGGCAGCCATACTTGAATCTTTGCTTGGATCATGTGCCAGTAAATTGCAAAATATCATTACAGATGAGGCCATACTAATCCTTGGGGTGGAAGAAGAGCTCAGACAAGTCCTGCGACGAGTAGAACTGATACAATGTTGCATATATGATGCTGAGAAAAGGAGGACAAAGGAACAAGCATTAAACAATTGGCTTGGTCAACTGAGAGATGTTATATATGATGTTGATGAAATCCTAGATGTGGCTAGATGTAAAGGAAACAAGCTACTTCCTGATGATCCTTTATCATCAAGCAAATCAGCCGAATGTAAAGGCTTTTCAGTTTCCTCTTGCTTTTGTAACATCTGGTCACGTCGTGATGTTGCTGTTAGGATTAGAAGCCTCAACAAAAAGATTGAGAACATTTCAAAGGACAAGATATTCTTAACATTCAACAATAGTATACAGTCTACTAGAAATGGTCCAACATCCAAACTCATAAGAAGCTCCAATCTTGTTGAGCCCAACCTTGTGGGGAAGGAGATCATACATTCTAGCAGGAAGTTGGTGGACTTAGTGCTTGCGCACAAGGAAAGTAAGTCTTACAAGCTTGCTATTGTTGGAACAGGAGGAGTTGGTAAGACAACGCTAGCTCAAAAAATATACAACGATCAGAAAGTAAAAGGAAGCTTCAAGTTGCACGCATGGATTTGTGTTTCACAAGACTACAATCAAATAACTCTTCTTAAAGAGGTTCTCCGGAATGTTGGTGTGCATCATGAGCAGGGTGAAACCATAGCAGAGCTGCAGAGGAAGCTTGCAGAAACAACTGAAGGGAAGAGTTTCTTTCTGGTTTTAGATGATGTGTGGCATTCCAATGTATGGATGGATCTATTAAGGCCTACATTACACGAAACAATGTCCGGAGTAATATTGGTAACCACACGAGATGACCAAATTACAAGGAGAATAGGTGTAGAGCATACACATCAAGTTGATCTCATGTCAGTAGAGGTGGGATGGGAGCTACTTTGGAAGAGAATGAACATTGGGGAAGAGAAACAAGTGCAGAATTTAAGAAACACAGGGATTGAGATTGTTCGTAAATGCGGTCACCTCCCTCTTGCAATCAAGGTTACCGCTAGTGCTTTGGCAAGTAGAGATCTGACAGAGAATGAGTGGAAAAAGTATTTGGGCAAATATGTTGGTTCCCAGAGCATGCTCTCTGATGAAATAGAAGGAGCTCTGTATCTAAGCTATGATGAGTTGTCGTATCGTTTGAAACAGTGTTTCCTTTATTGTGCTTTGTACGCTGAAGATTTTGTCATTTGGCGTGATGAAGTTACCTGGTTATGGATTGCCGAAGGCTTCATCGAGGAGCAGCATGGCCAACTACTAGAAGACATAGCAACTGAGTACTACTACGAGCTAATACATCGAAATCTCCTCCAGCCAGATATTTTGAGTTTTGACCAGGCTAATTGCAAAATGCATGACCTCTTAAGACAGCTTGCTTGTAATATATCAAGGTAAGAATGTTTTGTTGGAGATGTTGAATCATTAAGAGGTGAAAATATATCAAAACTGTGACGTGTTACTGCTGTCGCGGTTAAGAAGGATATATTAGTGTTGCCTAGCAAGGATAACGTCGAAGTTGAGGTGAGGACTTTCCTAACTGTTCGTGGTCCGCAGAGAATTGAGGATACATTGTTCAAGAGATTTGTGCTTCTTCGTGTTTTGGTACTGAATTACACACTTGTACAAAGCATTCCAGGCTATATAGGAAAATTGATACATCTACGTCTACTTAATCTGGATTATACTGGCATATCTTGTCTTCCGGAATCCATTGGCTCCCTAGAGAACCTTCAAGTACTGAGCTTGAGATGGTGTCATAATTTGCACAATCTTCCTTCCGCAGTGACCCTGTTGAGCAGTTTAAGATGTCTTGATCTTTTGGGCACAGAAATAAATCAGGTCCCGAAAGGGGTAGCAAAATTGAAGATCCTCACTTATTTAGGAGATTATCTTGTTGGTGATGGAAGTGATAATGCTGTTATACAAGATGGATTGAAGTTGGAAGAGTTGTCTTCTTTGTCACAGATGAGGTACCTTTCTCTTGTTAAATTGGAAAGAGCAGCTCACTGCAGTACAAACACAGTGCTTACAGACAAAAAGCATCTAAAAGAACCGACACTGGAGTGGACTGAATGTGGAGAGGGGACACATTCAGAAGATGACGTTGGCAACACTGAGAAGGTCTTTGAGCAGCTAATACCTCCACACAACCTTGAAGACCTATCAATTATTAGTTTCTTTGGTCAGCGTTATCCCACCTGGTTTGGTACCACTTGTTTGTCTTCATTAGTACACCTGAACCTCATAGATGTACAATCAAGTGTGCATCTTCCATCGATCTGGCATCTACCAAAATTGAAATATCTGAGAATTGAAAGAGCACATGCAGTTACTACGGTTGGACCTGAATTTGTTGGCTGCAAGAAGGGTGATCCTGTATGTAATTAATGAGTTGGTTGCTTTTCCCAAACTTGAAGCGTTGATCTTCCAGGATATGCCCAACTGGGAGGAGTGGTCTTTTTTGGAGGAAGAAGTTGTTGCTGCTGATGGACTGGGAGAGGATGGAGCTGCTGAGATTCGAAAAGAGGATGCCCAACCTGCAAGGGTGCGACTGCTGCCTCGTTTGTTGGAATTGCAACTTCTCGGTTGCCCGAAGCTGAGGGATCTCCCGCGACAGCTTGGAAAGGATACCGCATGTTTGAAGGAGCTCAGTTTAAGAGAACTAAACAACCTGAAGGCCGTGGAGGATCGCCCGGTGCTCTCTGAGGTCCTTGATATTGGGTTTTGTGAAGGCCTTGAGAGGATCTGCAGCCTCCCTCAAGTGACAGAGCTGCGTGTAGGTGGTTGTCCAAACTTAAGCCATTTAGAGGGATTGGGCAGTTTGCAGCGGCTGGGGCTGAGCAAGGATATGCAAGAGATCTCTTCCCGCTGGGTGCCTGGGCTTCAGAAGCAGCACCAGCGACTTCATGGTGAAGACCTGGATGTCTACACGTGGCGTTAGATCAGGGCCGGCCCTGGGGTATGGCCGAAGGGGCGATGGCCCGGGGCCCAGGCCAGGGAGGGGGCCCATGATGTAGTATAAGTATAGTCCAGCAAAAATAGGTAAGAAAAAAATTCCAGAGAAAAGAAACGAATCTAGCGATTAGCGAAGCGTCCGGCGGCGTGAGTCACGCCTGATGCGAGGCGGGTTGAGATCCTCTGCAGTACCGTATGGTGCTGTAGTGTCGATGACATGTGGGGCCAGGTCCCACATGGCAGTGACTGTACAGCACCGTACAGTACAGAGGATCCTAACCCGATGCGAGGCATGGCCGCTTGTTTCCCTTTTGTGAAACAAATCAATCGAAGATCTCAAGCCTTTCGCTCGTCTTCGTCCTCTCGTCGGTTCGTCTTCGACTGTGCGTCCTCTCGTCGGTCACCGTCGGCCTGCCTGTTTCTCGGTCGCCGCTGCGTGCGCCGCGCAGCAGTCCGTAGCCCGGCCATCCGGCATCGGTCAAGGCGGCAATACATTATACGCATGTGAGCCGTGAGCGCACCGCAGTACGTACTGCCAATAACGTACAGGGTACGTATCCATCCATGTTCCTGATCCATCCCCCTAAACGCCAATTTCAGTAGTTTATTTTATTCTTTACTCAGTATATATGTATCCAACTATTCATCCAAGATCCATCCTTAAATTTCAGTGTACATGAAGTTTCAAAAAATTTAATGTATAATTTTCTAATTCAATCTTTCACAGTATGTACTCAGTCATGCTAATTTTTTGTCAGTCTGTAACGTCTAGGGTTCCAATCATCCCATGTATAAATTTTTGCATTGAGAAGGATATCTTGGACAATGTTGATCTTGATTGTGCCCTTAATGACTTTGCATCAAGAAATGCCCGAAGAAACTTTTTCTGAAGCACTAAAGTATTATTGTTGTCGATGGAATCAGTCGAATTTGATTCTTATTTAAGGTAATCATGTCATGTTATTTTCATTTTGCTATCTTTTTAGTATTTCTGTCGTAAAATGGCATTGTCCAACAATTATTGTAGTCAAATCTTAAACTAAAGATGCGTGGTTGAAAGTTTAATGAAGTTGAGGTATCACACACGCGTATACATATATATGGTCATAGGACATAGGGGGCCATGTCGTCGAGTTCGCCTGGGGCCTCCCGAAACACAGGGCCGGCCCTGGGTTAGATGGCACAAGGTATATATGAACACTGCATATTGACCTCTAATCTAGACAAACTGTACCCCGGTTCTGTATGTGACTATCGCAAGCCTAAAAAATTGTAGCTATACTCATGCAGATATCAGCATGTACAAACTGTACCAACTAGTTTTTGATTTTGTTCTTGCTTTGCCCACAGGAGAACATTAACTGAACAATACATTTCGTATGGTGGATGCCTCAGTCTTACCTCTTACGTACGCGTAACCACATCAAGTGCTTGCCAAATGTCCCCAACTATTTCGGTCTGTTTTGTTGGCAGCGCAGCACTGATGGCGTGGTTTGCTTCAACGGGCAAATCGTCAGACGTAGTACCATGATGAAGATGTTGGAAGGCCTGTCAATGCTGAAGATGCGCAAGTATCATGATGGATGTGTAACGAGCTGGTGAAGAAATAAACTGTCATGTTTTCCTTTGTGCAGGTGCCCTGGAAATACTGTATCGAGTTTCGTTTTGTTTATTTCTGAATTTGGGCCAGAGGCCTTTGCTGTAGCGAACCTCCTGCCTGTGTGGTACTGTTTCACTTCTTTATTCCTGAACCAGTGTGGCTTGGTATCGTTCTTTTAATTGAACCGGTGGATTTCGCTTTGGCATAATTTTTTTCTTTGCATGGAATCGATGAATTTCGTTTTATTTTGTTTCTGAACTCGGGCCTGAGGCTTTGCCTGTAACCTCCCGCTTGGGTTGTGCTTTCTACTAAGAGGGGCAAACGTTTCACACCTCAATCATACTTTCTACTAACAGTGCAAACCAACCCTGTGTGCCGGAGCTTTGGGGGAACTTCAGCGAGGGCGGAAGGCGACTATGGCGGAGGCGCTCAACGGCTCAACTGTATTTGGAAGCAGGTATGAGGCCTCTGTGGGGGAAGCGTGAAGTACACCATCTTGTTGTAGCAATGAAACGGAGATGAAAGAAGATCAAGGAGATCGCAGAAGCTGCTAGTACACCATCTTGCTGTAGCAATTAATAAAATAGTGCAATGCAATGCTCTTCAGTAGAGTGCTACCTTTTCTAAACTTAATTAGTGCAATGCGATGCATGATTGAGGTGTGAAATGTTTGCCCCTCTTAGTAGAAAGTATTGGTTTGCAGTGTTTTGAAGCTTTTCTGTCAAACTCCCCGGCCGAGAGACTGAGCAATTCAACCGGGAGTTCGGGCATCCCGGCTGAAAGCACGCTTTTGAAATTCTGAAGGTGCATTTGAATTCTGGGGGATGAAACAGAGCGACAAAGGCAACGTGGATATTGGCTGTCTGCACCTGCTCAGCAAAGATATGCAATGTGGATGTGAGCAAGGAAGAGGCGTGCGTGCGTTCGTATTAGGCCGTTCCACAGCCCCAATCAAACGGTTCACAAGGTTGTTCATGCTTGATTGATTTCTCAAAGTTAACCGTACTGGTTTGGTTCTCAACTGTATCTGTAACATGCCTCGCTGGGGTATGGTTATCTGTGGATACTGAGTGAGTTACAGACCTATCAGCTTCTCGGGAGGAGCTGGCCCTTGGTAACAGGCCGCAAACACAATATCTCACCTACTGCTAAATATACGCCGCGCTCGCCTCTTGTGGCGATTCAGGCTAGTAACAAAAAGAAAGATGCAGTTTTATGTGTCCTTTTTTGGATCCAAGTTTTATCCGTTTTGTTGATCCAACAATGGAAGGCAAACGTTGTTTCCGGCATTTTTTCTCGGCCATGTTTTTTCATTTTTATTTTCTTTGAGTTTTTGTTGCAATTTTCTTTTCTATACTTCTTTTTCTCTACTTTCTGAATTTTTCTATTTCTTTTACTATCTCTTGCTGTTTTCCTTTTCCTTTTTTATGTTCCAAAATTTGTTTTATTTATTTTCGTTTTCTTGTTAAAAAATGTACATAAATATTTTTTAAATGAACAAATGATTTTACAAAATTACACACATAGCTATGTTAAAGTCATGAGCATTTTTTAATTACATAATTATTTTGTCCTAAATATATGAACATTTTAAAAAATGTAAGGAATATTTTTTGGTTTCATGAACATGAGTGTACATATCTTGATCTCAAAATACGTGAACAATTTTTAAAGTACATAATCGAACATATTTTATCCTTTTTGTGATTCTGTTTTCCTACAAACAATTTTATATTTTTCCTTTTTCTTCTTTTTTTAATTTTTTCCCTTTATGTTTATTTTTATTTTATGGATGTCTGGAGTTTACCCCTTTCCCTAAGAACACATTATTATTTTTTAAATATTTTTAAATGCACTGCGAACATTTATTATAAAAATTAAAAATAAATAAAATATATGATGAATATTTCATTTAAAAATGTAAAGTTTTAAATACATATTAAATAATTTTTAGTGCACAATACATATTTGGTTAGGCATGACAAAGCTTTTTTTAAACACGCTCAACATTTTTTAATGGACAATAAACATTTATAATTTATTCATGTTTTTTGTAAAATATATTTGTAGAAAACTGTCACCAGAATGAGGGTGACATCCGGAACTGGAAAGCTAGTGTCGGGCAATAAGTAAGCCAGCCACAGATAAAATGTGGTGATCCGTGCAAAAGAAAATTATATCCAGAAGTTAGCAGGTCCTAGGAAGTTTGTGGTACACGTAAGTTAACCCCGCTACTATTGTTTGTACATGATGTGCATCCCGTTTTGGTCGTAACGATCTCAATTTTTTACCACACCTTATTGATGTTTAATGCAGACAACATGCAAATTTTGGAATGCTTCCATGCTCGTTTGCACGACCAAAGTTTTTGAGCCGTTTTTAGTTAGCGAAAATAGCAAACCAACTTCAGAATTTGTAAAATTTTAGCACATGGCTTTCTATAGCATATATTACTCATGGAAAAAATACTCAAGTTCAAAATATTTTTTAAAATTTAGTTGGGTGTGTGTGAGGTGGTCGTTTACGTTCGAAACCCTTAAACTTGGTGAAAGAGTGTCATGTTTATACACGATGTGCATCACCAAGATCATGGCTTTGAACATAGTTAGCATACTTGATATTCATATAATACATTCTAGCAACATTGCGATCATGCTTATCATTCAAGGACCTCACATCAAACAGTCTGTTAAATTCTTCTTTTAGCACTTCATAACAATCATCGGAATCCATGTTTTCAAAAGAAAACTTTATAAAGATAGCGCATTTGACAAAACATCACTTCCAAATTGCAAGATCAAAAGAGATGCCTCCAATCACTCACCTCCCCGGAAAACGATGTCAGAAATAGCTTGGTGTCTATCATGCAACTTTATTCTTGTAGATTTGGTTGGGCCTTCAAGCGCAGAGTTTTGTAGGATAATAGCAAATTTTTCTCAAGTGAATGACATAAGATTTATCAATCCGTGGGAGGTGTAGGATGAAAATAGTTCTCTCTAAGACAGCACTGCAATCAAATACAAGAAATTTCTTGTGACCCCAACACACCCAATACATTTTTTAATTGTATATGTGCACTAATTCGGCGACAAGAAGTGATATATGTGTAATATAGATGTAGATGATAGATATATATTTTTATAATCTCAATAAATAAAAACAGCAAAATAGTAAGTAACACAATTAGATAAAAACGACATTGCAATGCTTGAAATCAAGGCGTAGGGTCATACTTTCACTAGTGCCAACTCTCAACATCATTAGCATAATTGAACATCATGATAATTCCTCAAAGTGTAGCAAACAATCACTCCAATATTAGGGCCCAGAAGATACCATTGGCCTTTAGCCGGCCGAAATGCATGTTGGGCCTCAATTTTTAGTAG